TACAGATCTCACTGGCATACTAATGAGCATATGCAAAGGAAGATAAGCTTTATACCTCAGCCACAGAGACACGGTGTCACTAAGGTGATGCAGTTAGTGAGCCACAAGCAGATATTAGTTCTCCTGGCTTCACCATCTAAGACATCCGTTTCCTTTTTTTTCTAGGTGAAATTTTGGCCCTCGCTGAAGTGAGTGGCAGTGCCATGATCGATGCCACTGATCTTGCTGGGGATGTGGCCACATAGCTTAGACGACCTCTTCCTGTATTCTGTAGTGCTCTAGAGCCAAATATATTTAGACCAAACCCTATTAGTTTTGCTGACACAGTACTTCCCTTGAAATCAGTGGTTGTTTTTTTTTTCAGCAGGAGATGAACAGGAAGACTTCATGGGTTTGGTATGCATTAAAGTGCATACTGTACTGTTAGTGTTATCTTTTCAGTGAGTTATAACAAACAGGAGTTTTACAGCTCCTCAACCAGGTGGCTGATTCAGCATCACATATATTATAGCCACTACTGCTGACTCTCAGGCATGACAATAAATCCTCAAGTGAGATAGCATGAGCTAGCCCAAAACTTCAGACCTGTACATTCTTCCAGAGCTTCAGTGGACACAGACAGGTTTCACTACATAACTACAGGGAATGGAGTCAACACTGAGGTTTTGAAAAGTTGTTAGCTCATGGAATGGGCTGATTTGGTCTGATTTCGCCTGGTAAAAACTATCTACAGTAGAAGCTCTCAGAAAATAGACCATCCAAAAATCCAACTCTAATTGACTTAAAGACGCAGAACATTTTCCTGTGCTCCTGCCTATCAGCTGGATTTTCTAGCCCAACCACAGCACAAAATGACATCAAAATGCTGGAGAAGGTTCCACTCACTCAATCTTCTATAAGGGCTGCAGCATAAAGGGCTGTTACCATGTTCACAGGGATGGCATAGCTGAGCAGCAAGTTACTATAGCCAGCTTCCTGCAGATGCTCCTCTTCACTGCATCTGAAAGCATCACAGCCTGTAAACTCTATAAAACAGCAGCACTGTCAAATTCGTTTTATCTATTTTTATCTATTTTATCTATTAAGTGTATTTATTACAAAGTGTAATTATGGGTATTTGTTATATAACCTTTCACCTCCCTGACTTCACTTCATAATCTTTCCTGTTCCTTTGTCCTCTGTGCATCATACTGAGGCAAACTCTGCATTAGCCTGTCCTCCCTCCCTCCCTCCCTCCCTCCCTCCCTCCCTCCCTCCCTCAATCTCTACTATTATTCTTTTTCTAATGTATCTTTACATTTTCTTCTGCGTTCATGACAAAAATCCTCCTTTCTCACCCTCATTTGCCTGTGACAGCACATGTAACAAGGGACATTTCTCCTCCTCTGTGTTTAAGAAAACATTTCCCTTTTGTCCTTCTCTATCACTCCTCTTTTGCCGCAGGCTAGGGAAATATCAGTTCCAGTCACGTCTTTGACCCCAGTCAACCTATTCATCCACTGGAGTTTTATTCTTACTTAGACTTTTGAGGAACAGACTCAGGTGACTACTACAAACCCTTCTGTCTTCAAGAAGTACACATACCTCCACGCATTTGAAAGTACAACCGCATTATTAGCTTGGGCTGCGTAGCTACATAGTCGCACACTCCATGTTCTGCAGGCTCAAATGTGGTCCTGTCTGTAGGGCACCAAAGGAGTGCTTTGTGAGCACTTTCACCAGCTGCATGGTGGTAACAGTTACTCTGCTCACTATTCCTGGGAAAAAAAAAAAAAACAAAAAACCAAAAAAAAAACAACAACAGCAAAAACCCCCCCAACAAATATCAAAACAAAAAAAGCAAGTAAGGAACTGAGATAGGAAAAACAACAGAAAACATCGTGCACCAGACATTTCTTTGCTGACACCCTGTAGTTTTGCTGCCATATCTAGCTTTGGTAAGGGAATTTACACTTGAGTAAATTACACGCACTACACAAACTGTCTTCCATTGATACACAGAAACTGATATCTGAAATCAAAGTCCCTTCTGGCAGTTGCAGTTCACAAACTCCCCATCATTTTTTCCCACAATGTACACCCAGTTGGTTTAACAGGACAACATTTACCGATGGACCTGCAAACTGGTAAAAATGTCATATCAAACCCACCTTCGTGACACATGCAAACCACGGCACATCAGCTGAGTTTTAGATGGTGACCTCATTGCACTATCACATTTGCATTTTTGTTTAAAAAAAGTCTGTTCTGAGGAAAAATCTAGCCAGAAAATATCCATATTGGAAAAAGAGAGGTTTGGGTTGTTTTTTTGTTTGTTTGTTTTTTTTTTTTTGTTTTTTTGTTTTTTTGTTTTTTTTTTTTTGTTTTTTTTTTTTTTTGTAGCTGCATCTAATATTCCTAAAAGAATAACAGAAGATAAGCCCTGGTGTCCTCATACAAATACTTCTTTCAGTTGTGGGAGATTAAAAAGTGCTCCCTTGATTATTTTTTCTCATATTCCTAGGAGAATACATGCACAGATAAACACATGCTGTTTCAAAATTCTATTGGTTCCTGCCAGCCCAATGTGTTACATTAGCTAGCAGCATTCTGGCTCATGAAACACATTCTTGAAAAAATGCACACCCATTAAGGAGCATCTGAAAGCAGAACTGGATGCTTTAAAAGAAAATGCACGTACCAACTGACAGAAGAAAATCTCTGTGTCTCTTTGTATGTTTGTGGTGTAATTTGGTGGACAAGACTTGGCAATGGTCGTGACTCATCTGACACTTGTGGTTCAGATGTTCAAGTCTTTTTCACTTCAAGGTGTGCCTTCACTGTCAACTCATCCAACAGGTTAACAGCATCCGAAACATTGCTCAAACTGCTAGCAACATCCAATTAATAAGTGGGAGGGAATCTTTATAATAATAAGATTTTCTTGACATGCTTAAATATTAATTGCTCATACCTGTGATGACTGCATGATGTTTTATCTCTTCTGACATGGAGAAAGGAGATCCTGGCTCCTGGAAGCTTAGTCAGAAGTGAAGGACATCTAGGAGGAGATAATATGGGTGTAATAGGGTGGAGGATCAAAAACTAAGAAGGGAAACAAGGTGTCTGAAACTACTTGAAAACCTGCTTGCTGACTAGACAGGAGTAGAAACAAGGCACTAGGAAGGCTGTTCAGAAAAGCTGGCCTCTTATGTAGAAGATCCATGTGAGGAAGCAAACAAAAAAATAAAAAGCAAATATAAAAATACCTTACTGCTGTCCCCATCATGCTAAGATTTCAGGTTTCTGGTAACATATTTTTTTTTGAGATAAATGACTCAGACAAAAAGAAAAGACATTCAGAGGTTCAGTGCTCCACCTTGGGCGTGAAGGCGAAGGCAGCTCCATTCGCCTGCAGTACTTTTCAGGAAGAGCCTGCAGAAGAGCAACGCAAAGTCCCCAAACTCCTGAAGAGTTAAGCTCCTGCTTGAGTCTTTGCTTTTTGATCCACACACTAGCAGGCAAATGGAACCAGCCTTCCAATTGCATGTGCAAGGGGCCGTTGTCTTCAGAGCTAACACCATGGTGGGACCCTTGTCTTCGTAAATAACAGCTGTGTGCTGTATATGGTCACCTTCTTCCCAGGGCATCTTACCTTCATCTGCGTACCTGCTTTTTTGCCCTTTGGAAAAGCTCACAGAAATCCCTTCAACGCACCTCAGCACTCGACCCGGGGGCCGGGCTGCCCAGGGGAGCGCAGCCCACCGCTGCCACGGCGGGGGGCACGGAGCCCACGGAGCCCAGGGAGCCCACAGAGCCCACGGAGCCCACGGATCCCACGGATCCCACAGAGCCCAGGGATCCCATGGAGCCCAGGGAGTCCACAGAGCCCAGGGAGCCCACGGATCCCATGGAGCCCACGGATCCCACGGAGCCCAGGGAGCCCATGGATCCCACGGAGCCCAGGGAGTCCACAGAGCCCACGGAGCCCACGGATCCCACGGAGCCCAGGGAGCCCATGGAGCCCATGGATCCCACAGATCCCACGGATCCCTGGCTCGCAGAGGGGGAAGAAGGGCCACGTCTCCCTCGCCCCGCAGCGGGGAGGCGGTTCCGCTGCTCCAGAGCTTCGAGGAGACCTCAGGAGTAAAACCTCCGTGCTAGCAAATGCACAACTGGAACAAGACCTCATTTTGATACACTTTTACTGTCATTGCTTATACAGGAGGTTATAAATAACGGAAGAATTTTGCTTTTGCTAAAAGTAATTCATCAATTACTTTTATTGAGTTAGGCTAAAGCTGTTATTAAAATGAGTGTTGTTAAAATTGTAACAGTTAAGGAAGCCTTTTTTGATCCCAAGTTAGGCATGTGGTTGGGCACTGTGGGGAGTTGGGCAGGCGAGAGGATGGGGGGGTCTGTGGTTAGGGGTCATGAAAAGGGGAGCCTGGACGGGGGGCTGGGGAGGAGTGGCAGCCAGCGGGAAAGGAAGGGAAGAGCTCCTGGTGAAGGGGAACCTGGACTGCACCCCTCCATCCCCCCCAACCCCCCAGAGGGCAGCGGAAAAGTACTGAGAGAGAGCGCCAGCCTCGGAGAAACCAAGAAAAAGGAGCTGCGCAGGTGTAAAGAGGAGAAACCCCGCCATTTTCACTCAACCAACCAAACCTCCTGGTTGCTCCATAAAAAGAAGCCCCTTTTGGGGCAGGGCGCGCCACTGTGCCCCGCGCTGTATTCTTCACTCCACTGACTTCGCCCCCAAATAAAACATTTTTTTTTTTTTTTTGATATACGCGGGCTTGTTTCTCACACGGCAGTCCACCTACTTTTCCTTTTTAGTTATGCTCATACACCTTTATTTCGTGAAACGAATGCAGCCGCCCGACCGCAGGAGGCGACCCCCCTTCCCTACCCTCAGCCCCGAGCCCTTCCTTCGCGCCCCCGGGGCCCGGAACCACAGGCCCGGCCCGGAACCAAAGCCTCGGGAGCGCGTTTCCGCCGGAGCCGGCCCGCCGCCGGAGCCGGCCCGCCGCCGCAGCCATGGCCGACACCGCCGCGCCGCCGCCGCCGCTGCCCGCCGCCCCGGGGCTCCCGGCTGCCCCCGGCAGCAACCCGCTGTCCCGCAAGCTCAACAAGATCCTGGAGACTCGCCTGGACAACGACAAGGTGGGGGTGAGGGGACGGGGCGGGCGCCGGGGCCCGCCCTGAGGCGGGGCGGTCGGCCGGGTGGGCCGTCAGGGGCCGTGTCGTAGCCCGAGTTCCGCTGCGGAGGCGCGAGGTGACGCTTGCGGCGTTAATTAAAACGAAAATTCATTTTTGCTTCTCTGCTGGCATGCCGCGCACCTGTGCGGTCCCTTCCAGTGGCGGGCAGGTTTGTATGGCTTGGCTCGGAGGGCAGGTCTCGGGCCTTTTCTGATTTTAAATGTTTTCTCGCTATAGGTAGGTCATGCTTTGACCGAATGTAATCTTACTGACGAGAGCTATTCTAAAACAGTAAGCAAAGTTGTGTGTTGTGAGAAGAAAAGAGACTTAGCAATTATTTTAGTTATCTGGAGTGTGTTTAGGTAGTTTTTTTCTCTAAAGTCACGTAGTAGGGTTTTTTTTTAGGGTTTGATTTTTTTTTTTTTTTAATTTTCCTAAACCCACAAATTTAGGATGATTACAGACTATGTAAGATGCTTCTCTGTAACCGCGTGGAAAGTTAAGGTCTTTTTTATCTTCTAGGAAATGCTGGAAGCACTCAAGGCTCTCTCGACCTTCTTTGTTGAAAACAGCTTGCGCACCCGAAGAAACTTGCGTGGAGACATTGAACGACGAAGTTTAGCCATAAATGAAGAATTTGTCCACATATTCAAGCAAGTTAAAGAGGTAACATTTTTACAGTGTGACTAGATATCTTGCAGGAGTACTACTATGTAATTTAAAGATTTAAAAAAAAAAAAACAACAACACCCCCCCAAAAAAAAACCAAACCAAAAAAAGGATTAAGAGAGATTTTGACTTTCCAGGTCAAATATACTTTTACAGTAAAGTTGTTTCATCGTTTGCTTCATTTGATGAAAATGCTGCACAAGAGAGGTGATGTTTCAAACAGATAAAAGTCCCAAGCGAACGTGGATCTTTGGAGGTGCATTCTCTCCATGGATTAACAGGGAGCTTAGAGCAGCTATGTTCCTTGTAACTTGGGCATCTCATTTTGGTGGGATGAAGCTGGGCACAGCATGGCATTTCTGATTTAAAACACAGTTACTGTTATTTGAACTGACTTAGGAGCTGGAGAGTATAAACGAAGATGTGCAAGCGATGAGCAGCTGCTGTGAAGATATGTCCAGTCGTTTGAAGGTAATATATAAGTAGATGTGCTTTATATATTTTTTCTTTTGAGATGTGACCACTGTCTTTTAGAAGGATACATAATTATTGTGGAGGATTAACAGCAACACTGAAATGTTTCCATAGTTAGGTGTCTTATGTTACTTTAGGATATCAATATGTTTCTTTTTGCTTATTTAGAAAATGTATTGAGGAATTAATTTTAATTTATTTCAAATTGCAATTCAGAATTCTGTAATCTGCTTATTTTGAGAATAGCTATGTGATATCCATTTGTATGTGAGTGGAGAGAAAACATTTTATTAGATTGGAGGTGTGTGAGATTAAAGAGTTAATTACATTTGTGTATTTCCATTTAAAATTTATGTGCCTTTCACACTGACTCTACCTGTTATGACTATACTCGAGGTATTTTATATGAACACATAAGAAAGTATCTTGTAATCCAGAGAGGAAGACAATCCAGTGTGTTGTGCCATCTTCATTCTGTTGGTTTTGTTTCATAACATTATCTTCAAATGCTGATATACAACAAAACCAATTCTGTTTCATATTAAGCCTGAATCCATAATATTGTAGGGGGAAGAAGGTTGTCTGTGTTTTATAATGCGTTACTAAATCTAACTTGGTTTTAGTGTACAAGTCCAATACTGAATATAGTGATGGGTTTAAAAAGTTTATGGATGCTGAGGTGCAGACGTTTTGCCAAACCAAATCTGTTCTGAACATAGCGCACAAGTGAGAATCCTGCACCAAAAATCCTGTGGAAACTGTTGCTTTTTCCCCTCCTAATGTGTACGTGGGTACTTGAGATGTTCCCCTACTTAGATTAGTAGGTTTCGTAGTCATTGTATGTAATTCCTGTAAGAATGCTTGTAGTTTGATGAACTTGTTCCAAAAAGCATTAAGAGAACAGTGTAGCCTGCTGCAGTACTTAATTTTGAATTTTGTAAGGCAGTTGGGTAATGCACCTCGGAGATCTCGCATCTCTTTGAATACTGTTAATGTGGATGTATTCCCTAGTGCAGTTCAGAAATTGTTTGATTAGACTCTTAGATGTGGAAATGAGTTGAGTGTCCATGCAGATTTTTGCTCTAAAAGACAGAAGTCTTTAGATCATGAAGTGTAACTCATCTGTGATCCTTCTTTTCTTTTTTTTCCCAGAGCAGAGCCACCCTGCAGTGATTTCTTTTTCTATTAAAGTCAGTAGGTAGTTTTGTTCTGTGCCCCGCGTTAGGTTTCCTCTAGAGCCCTGCAGAACTCTTGCCTCAATTCAACCAATGTTTTCTTTGTATGAATGCAAAGTAAGTGCCCGTGAATTAGCACTCAGTTGTCAAATACTTTATCTGTGACAGAATGTGAAGGCTGGCGAGCATGTGCTGAAGCTGAATAAGACAACAAAGATGAACTAAGAGTAGAGCAAATAGAAAAAGGACTATGTATAGCATATAGGGCAGAAAAGTGTCCTAAGAGAGCAGAGCAAATACAAGATCTGAAAGGAACTGTATATTGATAAGCCAAAAAGCTTATTACCTTTTTTATTTTTAATTTTATAATACCATCCAATCCAAATAACCGGATACTGTCAGATCTGATTTCAGGACAGTGACTTGATAAAAGGAATGACTGGTGAGGGAGAGAAGGAGGCAAGTGCTGGAGTGAGTTGAAGCATAGTGAAAGTTTTAATTCGTATACTGAGGTGGAGAGGAAGAGAAAAGTATTTACATTTTGGATCTGCAAGAAACATCAAATATCAACTTTCTGATTTTTCTGGCATGTCTGACTTTTTCTGCCAGTTATCTTGTTTTGGTTAGATGTGAGCTCTTGCATTACATACCTACAATAGTAAGGGTATCTGGCATGCATTCAAATGCCTGGAAATAAAAACTGACTTCCTGATGTATCTAGCTAGATCCAGAAAAGCTGCTTTTCCTTCCCTTTTGCTGTCCTACTGTTAGCATTCTTCTTGGCAATTAGTACTTCTGTCGAGAAAGTACTGGAGAGGAAGCAAATTTTTTCTTCTTCTGTTTTTATGGTTTATTAAAATCTGCAACTCTGAAGGAAGGGGGAGGGAGGGAAAAGTCTAGAATTAGTGCATTTCCATAGAGTAGTTCAGGTCTAGTCCTTTGCTGTAATGGTATTTTTTTGTTAGGCTGAAGCATTGAAAAATGATATTACTAAAAAAACGTTTAAAATACAAATACATTAAATTTAAAAACTATTTTTATATAAGGTATAAAAAACTTAGAGATATCTGAAATTATTTCGAAACTACTAAATGTTCGGTAAATTCTGTTGAGTTTTTATTAAATTTGCACGCTAGTCCATCAGAGTTTCCTTTAGAAAATCAGCGACTGGCACCTCAGCAGTGCCCCCTGTCTGTCTGTGTGGAACAGCTCAGGCTCCCTCCCATGACCGAAGTTGTACTCGGGTAGTGGCCGTCCTGCTTTCACCTTTCAGAGCGTCCCTGTTCCGCGCCCGTTGTTCCGTCGGAACGGCTGCGGTGTGGCAGATGGGAAGGCTGAAATCGATCAGCCTGCGTTTATACTTGCGCCAGACCCCTCCTGGGTTTCAGGACCGGCACCTTCATCTTGGCAAATGCCGTAACTTAGACTTATTACAGTCCTGAAGTTACTCACGCAGAATGCCTTTACAGCTGTTTCCACCTCTTCACTTGCAATATTATTCCATACTGACTGCATTTTGATTTCAGGATTTTTTTTTTTTTTTTGGTTAAATCTTCTTATTTTTCTGCCTAAATGATCACTGGTGATACCCAGTGGGTAACCAACAGTTCCAGCTATCTTTTATGTTCTTGCTGAGTGAGAAGCTTCAGAACTCTTTAGCTTCAGTGGCAGCAATCCCTTTAGTCATGCAGCTGCTGTCTGGGGCAGAATTGTTTCTGCATGGATTCCCTTGCATCGTCATGACCGAACATTTAGGCCTGTGATGAACTTCTGAAGTGCATTTCTCTTAGAGTCATAGAATCATTCAGGTTGGAAAAGACCTTTAAGATCATCGAGTCCAACCACTAACCCAGCGCTGCCAAGTCCACCAGCAAACCCTCTCCCTAAGTGCTGCCTCTACCCGTCTTTTAAATACCTCCGGGAATGGGGACTAAACCACTTTCCTGGGCAACCTGCTCCAATGCCTGACAGTCCTTTCAGTGAAGACATTTTTTCTCATAATTTTTCTTCTTCCTTACAGCCCTGTAAGCTGCTTAGACTGTAGAGCTAAACTTGCTTAGACCAGCAGAGCTGTATTCATGTCTGAAATGTCTGGGTGGACACTGGTACTGGGCAGGTTAGCACCCACAGGAACTTGTTCTGTTTTTCATTTTGTAACAGCAAACCATTGACAGTTGATGGACAAACAAGATCAGAACTGTTTCTAATTATATTAATGTTTTTATATTAAATAGAAATTTAAAATAAACTGTGAATATAAATGTATATAAACATGAAAATATGTATGTATAAGGATATTATTTTTTTCATGCCTGAAAATAGGGAGAGTTAACACTTATTTCAAGGTTGCCTTTTGTTTCAAAGAGTGCACTCTTTAAACTGCTTATAGTCAGAAAGCTTCAAATGTTTTACATATTTTAAAGGTTGTATAATACATTTGATATGCTTGTGTTTTTCACATGCTTAATGATTCTAATTGTATTCTAGGCAGCAAAGGAGCAAACCCAGGACTTGATAGTAAAAACCACAAAACTCCAGGCAGAAAAGTATGTATACCACCTTACTTATTTCTTGAAGACAAGACAGTACTGATTGAATGTTCTTCTAGATCTGATCCTCCCGCTCTTATTTTTCAGTGATGACTTCAGAGCTTTTTGTATTTGTATTTTGTTTCTAACACTGTGTTTGTAGCTCAATTGGAATAAAACACTGAACTCTTCATTTATTACTAGCAGGTACAGAAAGGTAAGAACGTGTTAATTCTTGTTGCAGTAGAAATTGGCCTTTTAGGGAAGAGAATCAGTTATAGTGGTACAGCGTGCTGAATGTGGATGTGCTGTCAGTTGATAATGTAAGTTATATTGTTTTGTAACAGATATGGACCTATTCAGTGTCTCTGGTTTCACAGGCTTCTTGTTAATGTGTCACATCCAGTGGGAATCACTCTCTTGTTCAGAGACTGTATGGAGGAACGGAAAGTTGGTTTATAACCTCCTCAGCCATATTTAAAGCTAACTGTGAAATACAGAAGGGCTGTTTAATGAGCCCAATACAGAACACTTTTCCCCTTGGTTTTCCAACCTGTTGTAGAAGAAAAGATTTGTAATTTGCTCTTTTCAGTATTTTTATTCATGAGAAGGGGATAATAGCCTATGACAGATTCAGGTAATCTTTCTCGGGTTTATGGCTAGGGTATCTGGTTTTACAACTTCAGGTTTTGTCGGTGGAGAAGAATGAATCTCCTTGCTTTATGAGCTTCCTTCTGAAAATTATATACAGTTCACTGGAGATTAGAAATAATTATTTCCAGTGATAAGTTTCTAGTAGAAGTTATGGCTTGGGATAGCTCTGGATGTGCTTTCAAAATCGGTAGGTTCATGTTGTGGACTTCAGTAGGATGTGGATTATGTCTTGTGAGTCTGACTGTGAAGTTAGAGTGTAATCTATATGTGTTTTAAAAGTTGAATGTAGAATAACTGCATAAAATACAGTACTGGTTGATACAAAATTAAGAATTTGTCAAAGTCACAGTTTAAGTAAGCGAGCAGAAGTCAAGCCTTAGAAAATTTGTTATTTTAAATACAAATATGTGAAGTAGTAGGACGGAGAAGTGGTCATATTTTTTGTAGTCTCAAGAAAATGAAAGATGCTTTGATTCCTTGTTCTGAAGCAGAATGGAAGATATCAAGACCAGGCCCAAGTGGTGTATGTCTAATTGGCCTTAAATTACATTAAAGGAGATTATGCAGACTGTCCATCAGTACTTCTACAATACAATCCTTACTCAAACAATAGTTTACTTAAAAGACTTTCTGCTAATTCCTTTAAGAGACAGAACATCCCCCTAGTGTGAGGACTAAAAAAGATTTAGGAAGTAGCCTGTCCTTCTGAGGGGTCTGTGTGACCTCAGAGTGCACATGGAGGAAAAAGTTCTCTTTTGAAAGGCAGTTTTTTGAGTATGCCATGAAGTACCTGCTAGCAGAAGCCAAGTAGGACTTGTGATCTTACAATATATGATAGTAATGGAAGACTCATAGTGTCATTTATTAACAAAGTCAATTTTTTTCCTAGGTAAACGTATGAGAAATTTAAGCAAAAGCTACAATGGGAAGGCTGTTCTGTTCTGTTTGGGATGTTCTAGTTATGTTTTCTTTACCTCATTAAAGAACTGTTTGTTCTGATGTATCGCTTTGGTTTGCATCAGGCACATCAAGAGGCATCTGCTGCCGAATGTTAGGGGTTTCTTGAAAAGCTGAAATCTTGCCTACAGTCAGACAAAATACAGGTCTTGAATTGATTATTCATTCAACTTAACAGGTGACTTTTCTTAACCAGCAAAGGAATAAATGATGAAACTGGGAGGGCACGGCCTCTCTGGCTTTCTGAGGGTTTTTCTCTAGGTGGCATTTGAAGCTGTGTAGTGTTTTGGTGTTTTGTTTTGTTTTTTATTTAATCAAGAAGTACGTGATAGCAGTAAAGAACAGTTTCCTGAAGATGCAGAGTGACCGTGGGAACTCGAGTATGAGGATGAACGTTGTCAGTAGGAACGCTTGTTCATATTCTTTCTTTTCTGTAGAACTTGTGAAGGAATGGCTGTCTTGGTGGTTCTGTGCAGTTACTAGGTTTCTTATACAAAGTAGTTTTTGCATTGTATTATCACCTATACAATTAGATGTAGTTCGAGATGATTTTGGTTTCCTAAGCTTCTTCCCTGAATTCTTTGTTGGTCGTCCTAGTCTCACATTTGTTGCTTGAAGGTGTAGTGGTCCGCCTGCATTATTCTGTAGGTAATCCTGATGAGCTATTTGGGACTTCCTATGTTGGTAAAATGTGTGATCTAAGACGCTTGGTTAAATAGTTGGGGTAGAAAATAAGATGTTTGTATCAGATTTAACTTAAAACTTCTGCGTTCTCAGGTTGTTGCTTTGCAGCATCGTTTTTCTTGTAACTTAGTTTGTGAGCTTTAGACCTGATTTAGCGTAAATGCTAAATTGAGTATGTTACTTGGATAACAAATGGAAAAAGTAATCTTTCATTAATACAATTGCATTTTTTATTTGTAAATTTTGTTAGAGTTGGTGCATTTCTTCGGTCAGTTAGGTTTCTTGTTCTGAATTTATTTTCTCTGTAAAGACTAGTTAAAATTACTGTACAGTAGAAGCAGAACAGTTTTCCTTCACATTGGTAAGCAGATTCCATAATTTCAATAGAGGAACTGGGGTTGGTTTGTTGTTTTTTTTGGTTTTGTTTTGTTTTGTTTTTTTTTTTTCCCCCTCCTTCTCTCCTTAAAATTGAGACTTATCACAACTTTATTTCACACTAGATGATTTTATTAAGTAGTCCAAGCCATTCAACCCATCTCTCTATAACAAGGTTAATTCATTGCTGTTCAATAAGGTAGAGTCATGAATAGAATGTTTGTGTTAATGTGTTGTATAATAAACTTTGATAATAAATCAAAACTGATGTAGTTAATTTGGATAATATCTATGAATTGTTAAAAATCCACTTCAGTATCGTCACTAGATTTCTATATGTTTACTTGAGCACACTAGTACTGCTTTCGGGTTTCATTAGGCTTTTTATGTATATTAATGAGATTAGTTTGTTTTCAAACAACATCTGCTGCCTTTTAAACGATGTGGGTTTCTTTATTGCTGTTGCTCATAGGCTGGCAGAAAAAGGATCTTGCTCCTTGAAGCGAAATGCTGATAAAAGCTTCCCATGACTTGTCGGTTCTCTTGTTATACCTGAGTTTAGTTCTTTTTTCCTTTGTGTGAAGCTAAACACCTGCTTGCAATACTAAACTACCTCACTTGGCGTTGGGAACAAGTGCCCTGGAGTTCAGTAGTGCCCAAACCAGAGAAATAACGGTTCTGTTCCAAAATACTGTAGGCAGAATGCCAGAAGCCTGGCTTCACAGTAGTTGTACCAGCCACTTCGTGGTATGGTATTGTGCAAGATTGTTTTTGAGGTTAGCCACAAATGACAGTCACGAATCTTAACAGTTGAAGAAAGAGACCAGAAGGTAATAGTTAGAGTTAATTCCTGTAAAATGAAATAAGAGTGATTATGTGCGTGTGTCTGTATGCTCGGGGAGCTCACAGAAAATAAGCCTGCAGAAATAGAATATTGGTGAGAGTTGGAAGTAGTTTTCTGGAAGTAATGAAAACTGTATGAAAGAATGGGAATGGAAATGGCTTGGGCAGATACTTCTTGAGTCAGGCTGAATTTTCAGAGATTTTGTTGAGATTATGCATTTGAACACTTTTACACACTCTCTTGTTTTGCTAGCTTTTATTAATTGTGTTCTTAAGTAGAGCAAAATATGTGTTTTGATGTCAGAGCCCTTATTAGTTATGCTGATTCTGGGAAATCAGTTTCTGTAGCACTAGGATTGTTTCACTTTCTAAAAATGCAGTTGAGTATGATTCCCATGCATATTTTAGAATGCAGCAGTGTGTACTTGAATTTATTTTAATTGAATTATGTTCAGACTTGCTCTTTATTTAAATTCAACGAACACAGCTCTGGGAGTTTATGAATGATTTGACTGTCACCTCTTTGCTCAATACAAGGTCAGAAGTCTTCAGAAAAATGTTGCTTAGTGAACATCTGCTGCTTGAGTAGTGCTACACAACAGATCTCTTGTGCTTGTCTCTTGCTGGTGTTTTTTTCCTTTTTTAAGAACTATCTTTGTAGTCATAGTCAATTTGGAAATGATGCAGGAAGTTCAGAAGTATTTGTAGCAGGTTAGAGAGGTTTGCTTTCATCAGTGTGTGCTGAGAGAAGTGGTTATCTGGTGGTTTGCACTGATGAGATGTATTTCATGTCTTGACCTTTTGAAACTTGTAATTACATTTATTCCTGTGAATATGCTTCATGAGAAAAAGCAATGATTGCCCAAACTGAATTATAATTTGATGTGGGGGATGGTGAGGGCTTGAAATTCTAAGGCTGATTTTCTTTCCTGATTTGTACCAAAGTAAAGCATAGGTAACAGGGCATAACACAGGCATCAGAACAGCTAAAATGGATCTGAAGAAAAAAAACCTTTTTTTTTTTTCCACATTCTAGCCATGACCAGCAGAGAAAATGCAAAGCCTTATTTCCTGCCAGCTTTTCTACCTGGCAGCCATGTACTCTGCATGAAGTACTCTTCATCAGTATGAAGTGAGGCATGGTTTTACAGATTGAGAAACATTCATCAGAAGTGCAGAATGAGTTACATGATACCATTCCTGACGGATGTTTGTCTAATCTACTCTTAGAAGAAAAGCCCAGGAACAGAGAGCCCATGGTCTGCCCTGGAAATTGATTTTGGTTCTTTATTGTTTTCCTACTATCTGATTTAGTTCTCTCTTTGCTGCTGGTTAAGCTTATTTGCTCTGATCCGATTCCAGGTGGGTGTAGAGAACAGTGTGTTACTTTCATGCCTTTGGCAACATTTTTGAATTTGATGGCAAATTTGAAGCTAGACTAAGCAGGGCCCTTTCAAATGTCTTTATATCAGATTGTATAAAAGATATGCTGAAGATTAACAGTC